ATATTACTAGTTTGCCAAATGGGGGTGATGTAGACCTTTTTTATTTGGCCAAAAGGGTGATATAAACTTTATTAATGACTTCCGATGATACGTTAATCAAAATCACAATTTTATTTGAGATTAAAATTATGATTTTATAGATGATTTATTAATAAAGCATTAAATTAATGTCGAAGATTATGATTAAAGTTTTAATAATTTTAAAAATACATGTTTAAGTATAATGATAAATTTGACTCTTTAACTATGTAAATGAGTCATTTCAACTCTTTGGTTTCTATTTGAGTCAATTTTGATTAAAGTGATAAAAAGATGAAGAAATCTAATTAATTTTTATTTTTCTTTAAGATAGTATTTGGTATGGGGTGATTATTCCAAAAATTTTGTTATTCTACATATGATGATTAGATCACTATGTTTGGTAAGCACTTGATAATCTTATATGACAATAATCTTAGATCACTGCCATAAAAAAGTGATTTGATTCCCATACAAAAGTGTGAGAAACTTTTATTATTGAAGTGAAATGATATGTAAAATTAATAATAGTCAATTTTACCCATTTAATATATAAATTAAAAACTTGCTACATCTTAAAATTGTAATTATTTTATATTATAATTTTTATATTTTCTAACTAATATTCATTATAACAAGTTTAAAATAATTTGTGTTTTTTTTTTTACTTTTTTAATATTTTATATATAATATAATTTTTCTTTTATTTTGAATTTAATAAATTAGTTTTATTTTCTAATTTAAATATATTTTACATAATTTATATTATAAAAATCAATTTACTTATCAATAAATATATTTATTAATTTAGTTATATTTTATTATAAAATAAATAAATATTAATAATATTTTACAAATTATTATCTTTAAACAATCATAAAATTATTAATTTGTATAACTATTACAATATGTATTGTTATTTTCGTACTTTTAAGCAAAATAATATTTGATTTTTAACAATACCAAACATAGTGATCTTTAATTCTTAAAAATTATTCATTGTTAACTAAACAAAATAATTTCAAATTACAAAGTTAAGATCATCTTGGTAATAAAATTATTTCGGTAATTACATTATCATGGTGATCTTATAAAAGATACCAAATGCTACTTAATATAATATTTGATATGGGATGATTGTTTCAAAAATCATTCTGATTTATATATGTTGTTAAATCACTGTATTTAGTAAATACTTGTAGATCCTACATAGTGGTAATCTTGAATTATCGAAAGTGATCAGATTACTGTCTTGAAAAGTGATTTAATTGCCATACAAAAAGATGAAAAACTTTTATTGACGAGATGAAGTAATTTATAAAATTAACAATAGTTAATAGTACCCATTTAATATGTAAATTAAAAACTTGCTTGCTCTTAAAATTTTAATTATTTTATATTATAAATTTTTATATTTTCAAATTAATATTCAATGTAACAAGTTCAAAAATAAATTTTATTTTTTTTACTTTTTTAATATTTTATATAATTTTTTTCTTTTATTATGAATTTAATAGATTAGCTTTATTTTCTAATTCAAAATTTTTTATATAATTTATATTATAAAATTAATTTACCTATGAATTAATGTATTAATTAATTTAATTATATTTTAATAGCAAATAAATAAAATATTACTAATATTTTATAAAATTATTATCTTTAAACCACATTAACTTTATTAACTTGTGTAATTATTACTATTTATAATTATTTTCATACTTTAAAATAAAATAATATTAGATTTTTAAAAATACTAAATATAGTGGTCTTCAACTCTTAAGAATTAATAAACCAAATAAAATGATTTCAAAACATGAATAATAAGATCACATAGACAATAAGATTATCTCAATGATTATATTATTAAAACAATCTTGCAAAAAATACCAAAAGCCATCTAAAATTTTAAATTTCAATTTTTCTAATACCCAATTTAGGGAAAACAAAGGAAAGGAAAGCTAAAAATATTTACTTTTGTAAAATGACTATATCATTCTTATATTTCATATAGCACTATTTAACTTCTCTTCGTAGAGGCAAACCTAGCCATATAAATTTTTAATTTTTTAGTACACAATTTGTTTCTCTCTTTTTTCATTCTCTAACCCCAAGATAAATTTGACATTTCATTTCATGTGTCATCTTTACTTTTCAGAAAATTCTAAATACATCCCCAATTTTTTCTTTACACACTTTTTTAAAAAAATTATTTTCAATGAAATTACTTAATTACCTTTTTTTTTTCCTCTCTTCACACCTTAGGCTTTCGGATTTGCAAATCCGAAAGCTTTCAAAAGTTTTCAGATTTAAATATTTGGAAGTTTAAAAATTTTTATAACATATTTTCTTTCAACAATTTTTTTCTAAAACTAAATATAACTTTTTTTTACTTACTAGATATGAAAATTTGGTAAGTTATATAACTTATTGAAAATATGTCTCACTACAAAAAAATGGGAATTAGGTGGCATTTTTTTAGCGAGAAACACCACTTTTTGATGTGTAAGTATAAAATTAGCACTGTTTATTATATAAATGCAACTAAAAATATATATAGCAACGCTTAGAATATAAAAAGCCACTAAATTTAAAATTTACTAAAATGCCACAAAAAAATTATTCAATTTTATTATTTTGAAAATATAAATTTATAAAATTGATCTTAAAATGAAATGCCTCAATTTTTTTATTATTTAATGGCATTTTTAATTAAAATGCTACGAATATAAAACTTATAGTGACGTTTTAAGCAAGGACGGATTTAGGATTTATGTTCAATGGGGGCAATTAATATAGATAATATTAACTATATAAATATATATTAACTTAAATGCATAAAAAATTATTTTATTTATACACAAAGTTAACACATTATAATTATTTTTTATGGGTTTCTTACTGCGAAAATAAACTTTTCAAACATTATCTTTTCATTTGGATGATAGTCTAAAATTTTTTTTCATAGTTTTGGATTCAATGAAAACCATCTAGATCTAATTAAACATGAATTTATTTTGTAAAATGTTGTGTGTCACTATTATTGAACTATTATTGATTTCGGATGATTCCTTCAAAATTAACTTTCTTTTAATAAGATATTTCTTCAAATCTAATTAAATTAGATAATTTAGTTTATATAATTTCTAAGAAATAATAAGCTAATGTTGTAGTTTGTATTATATATTGAAATGTAATTATGCAAACAAAATCAACATGCATATTTTATTATGTATTTTGAATTTTAATTAAATAATATAATTATATATATAAAAAACAATTTCATGCAAATTAAATTATTTCATTGCTAAACTTAAGAAATTAGAACAATTTTCAATTTTAATCCACTTATAATATAAATATAAATAAATCATAAATTAAGCACCAAATCAGATTATTTTATCAATATAAAAAAATTTATATAGTAAAAAAATATTCTATCACATAAACAAATGATAATAAATACAAAGAAAAAATTAAAAAAAAGTAATTACTTACTTAAATATATTGATGGAGGAAAAAAATTGTTCACTCCTTAATTTGTTTCTTTGGTTTATTGGCTTTTCTTTGTCCTCTTATTATTTCTCTACTTCTATTCTCTCTTTACTGTAATTTTTATTGGTTTGGACTAAAAATTATAAGTGGAGTAGAAAGAAGATCACTTTTTATTTTACTTTTATTGTTTTTTAAATGCAATGTTGATCCTTGAATAAAAATTATTTATAAATGTTTATTTCATTTATATTTATATATGTGACCCTATTATTTTTGTAAAATAAGTCCTTTATATTGCAATTATAGTTTTGTTCTTTCAAGCATTTATAAAAGTGTCATATATATTTTATTTTTTTTGATATTTAGTGGGGATAAATTATAAAAGAATTAAACTTTTTAAGGACTTTTGTAATAATTTCTAAGGATGTTAGGATCTCAATGGGCAGCTACCCCACTGCCCCCATTGTAGATCGGGCCTCGGTTTTAAGTAAAAACATCACAAACATGACAGATTTAGTGATGTTTTGTTTAATAAATGCCGCTAAAGGTCATATTTTAGTGGCATTTGTTAGGGTGAGTAATCGATCAGTTCGGTTTAAAAAAATCAATAGTTGATTTAATTAATTTTTATTTAATAAATAATTGAACCGATCAAATATTATTAAAAAATCGACTATAATCGAATTGATCAAAATCGGTTCGGTTCGATCGGTTTGGTTAAATAATCAATTTTTTATAATTTTTCTTCCTATTATGAATAATTCTTTAACCATAAATTCAATTCAATAAAATTCAAACTCAAGTATCATTCCAACTAAATTGTTAAAGAATTTAATAATTTTAACAATATTTTACAAGAAAAAAAATAAAAATATTTATCTCTATTTTTTTTACTTTTACTTATTAAAAAGTTGGTTAATTCAATCAGTTCGATTATTAATTTTAAAAATCGAAAATCGACCGAATTAACTAATTTAATCGATTTAAAAAATTGATTATAATTAAAACCGAATAAACCGAACCGATTCAATTGAATTTACTCGATTTTGGTCAGTCTAATTGGTTCAAATTGACTTTTGCTCACCCTTAGTTTGTCATTAAAAATGCCGCATATTTTTTCCCAAATTAATACTAATTCATTGGTTTTCCCTTCCCCTTCTTCCCCAAATTCTTCTCCAAATTAAATCTGCTCTCACTCCTCGCTCTCTGTTTGTATTTTCTTTCTGAGCTGTTATAAGGTACGGTTTCACTGCCTCTCTTTTTTTTTGTTTTGCATAATCTGCACGAGTTTTCTGGGCTGTTTGCATAATCTGTTAAAGTGCCAAGCTTAGATTATGTTATTTCTGATGATGTAACAAATTGGGTTGATAATTTGTTAAGAAATTTGTTTAGTAAACAGGCTTTAGGGTTCGGTGATTTTGTTTTTGTTTAGGTAAAAATTGAGAGAAAAAAGAGCATGGAGTTGCTCTTCGGTCTTCACTTTTCAGTTGGCTTTTTCTGCAAAGCCAACTGATTTAGAGCTGGCTGTGTTAGTGTTGCTTGGCTCCAGGTTTCGACCAAATTCAATGTAGCATGATTTGATTCTACTGAACCTGCAGATTATGGGTGTTTCTGAAATCTTCCTTCTCATTAGCAGACACATCCCAATTCTGCAATGTTGGTGAAAAATATGTAAATTCTGCAATGTTGGAACAAGTATTAATGCGTGCATAAATACTACTTTTTTTTTCTTTTATCTATTGTTATATGCTTATTTAATTAATTATCTCATTTATGATAAATGATAATGGTTTCTTATCTAGGCTGGGTGATTAGAGTTTGACACTGGACTCTGGCGCTCCTCCATTTTTCCAATTCCTTTCATTTCATTCTAATTCTATCAGGTATGCTTTGGTCCATCGTTCTTCTATCATGGCCGACCATTTGTTATAATATCATGATGGCTTATATGCTACAACAAAACCTTATTGCATGAGAGCAAATTATTCATGCAATTATAATTTTTGGAGTATATTTACCAGTTATCATACTGGGATTTTTTCAATCTGGGGTTTTAATTTTCAATCTGTAATTTTGTGTATATTTACAATTTTTTTCATTTTATTTATTATTTTAATTTTTACCATATAATTATTATTTCAGTAATAATTGAGTTTTATTTTAACTATAATTTTTATTTGATTCATAAAATTGTTAACATATAAATTCATATCATCAATCACGTGATATGTCAGATATGAGTTTTGACTCCAATTCACGTGTTTGGCACGTGAGTATTTTCTGTCAAATATAAGCGAAATTGATAAAAATAAAAGCGCGAGGATCAAAATGACTCATATTTCGTAGATAATCGGAGAGTCAAATTTATTATAAGAAATTATGTTATCTTATTGGCATTTGTGGGTTACAAAAGTTAAAGGCAAGGGTGGAAGCAAAGACAAATTGAAGCAGTTTGACACATTCCATTCCCATCTGGTGGAAATTTGGCATTGCATGAGCTCTTGCATAATGCATCTTCACAGTCTGGAAGCCCAAATGGTACAAAACAAGTTCTTCCTTCATCTTGCCCCAATATTACCTCATTTCCTGCATCAGTTAATTAATTCATTAAACCAAATTAATAAATACAAAATCATTCAACAATATAAATAAAATGCAAGGGTATGTTATTTACCAAGAGCAAAGAGGAGAAGAACAATAAAGATAGCTGAGATTTGCAAATATTTCATGGCTTAATTTCTACCCTTTCTGCAAATTATAAATTGGATGGTGAAATTTTAGGTAACAGTGATTGATTGTTTCTCAAATCCATCATCTTTGGCACTTATAGCACAAAATTTGGGATAGCCAGCTAAGGTAGGATTTAGGAGAAAAATAATCTTCTTAAAATGGAAAGATATCTTATCAATAAATTTTCATACATTGTTAGATATATATTTTTATTAAAATTTTGATTGATAAATAATATTAATTTTCATTAAACTCTATCAATGAGTTTTTATTTTTAAATAAGTTTTTATATGATTATTTTTAATAAAGAAAAAAACTCTACCTAAATCTTGCCTTAATTACTTTGGCTTTTTGGTTAAACCCAACTCATTTCTAACCATTTATAATTTAACGAGATTTAAAGTTAAATCACAAGTCAAAATCTCTCACGAATTTTTTTTAGAAATCAACCAATCTTGGCTTTATGGGGACGGGTTTGACTCTATTCCTTAATTTCTTTCATTTTATTTTTCTTTCAAAGCTTATTTTTTATTTTTTATTATTAAACGACATGTCAATCTACATGAACAACATCGTTTTATATGCCATTTATTATTTAAATGACAATTTTGAAATACAAATTGCTTTTAGTGTCATTTAATTAAATTAGATTTTTTTACATAATTTAAAATTTTGTGATTTTATTTACAATAAAATAAAATATTATAGATTTATTTACATATAATAAAAGATCAAAGATTTATATTTATTTTATAAAAAAGTTAAGAGTATATTTAATTATTAAAAACCTTTATTTTTTAATGAAAAATTATTTCATACATTTTCAAAGAAGTTTTTAGGTTTTACAAATGAAATTAAAAGGTGACACATTATTTTTAGAAAATAAAAAAAATTAAATATGTATCAGTTTTTTTAATTTTACTTATGAAATTAAAAAATTAAATGGTGTATCAAATATTAATTTTTAATTGCATATCATATTATTAATAAAAGAAAAAACACAAAAAATCAAAGATCATAAAAATTTCTTTTAATTATCATAGTTCTTCTTCTGTTGAATTAAAACTATTACGTATTTCGTGAATGCAATTAATCAACTAAACTGTCTTTCAGATATGTGATAAAGCATGTGTTATTGCAAAATGTACAGAGTGAATACCTCTATTCCCAGTAAAAAGTGAAAGGATTTTTCAAAACCCAATTATTAGTAAAAATGCTTCCTACAAAAAATCAAGGAAAGAAAATGTAAAAGAGATTAAAAACCATTTTTCTTTTATATTCACTGTTTTTCTTCAATTAGCTTAATTTTTTGCTTATTTGGATTATAACAAATCTGTTTTTTTTTTTTTTTTTTTACGTATTTTTGCTTAATATTTGATTAAATCTTAGATAGAGTTATTTGTATTGACTATTTTAATCGAATTTGTGTCAGGTTTTAAAACCTTCTTCTCAATTCAACTTTTATTCTTCCTACGTTAGAAGGGCCTGCATTGTTTTTTTTCCGTTAAGGCGGATTTTCAGGTTTGCAGTAGTTTTTATTGCATTATCCAAAAGAACCGCATTTGATTCGAATCGTTTTTGCCTATTCTCACCCAGGTTAACATGAACAATGGCAGAATGCTGATGTAATATTCCTGGTACATATCATTCTGTTAAAACTGCGAACGAAATATTTTCCCTATACATGTAATCATATAAGCTTTGTTCATATGAAGTTTCAATGAAACACTAATGAAATGAACATAGAAGTGAAAAAGAGGAGAAATGGGGAAAGAAACTGCCGAATAGAAGAGAGAATTATACCCTAGTGAGGCAACAAGCATCATATGCATTATCAGAAGTTACAAATCCTTCTACAATGAAGCTTCGGAGATGTTTCACTCCTGATTATTAAGCCAACTTGCAAGACATCGTTCTATACAAGCTGAGCAATGATCTATTTCATTCACAGCAGACGGTAATTTGACAGAAAAGATAGAGTGCTCTACTAAATCTCTTCGCGCAAAGTTTGAAACCAAACAATAGCAAGGGTCACAAGGGAAGCATAAATCGAATTGGGTAACTCTTGCACCACTTTCCCAACACCAGGAACGCCATCAGTAGCCTTTTTTGTTGCCATAGCAACAGTTGGACAACCAAAGTGACAATCAGTCCCTGACTAACAACAATGAATGTGTCAGTCGTGAGCTTCTGAATGAATTTAAAAGATTCTTCATGGTCGATTTCTCCATCAAGGTTGAAGTCACACTCCTGCATAGGAAACAAGTGTTATCCGTCCCAAATTAGGCAATGCTTGGATGTGAGCAAGACAATATTCCCTCAATCTAGACCAATGTAGTATCAAACATGTGAGATTTTGGAGGGAGTTAAACCAGTGGGGCACCTTCTCCAATTTCCCAACCAGATAAAGGTTCTCAAGGCGAGGAGGAGCTAAAACAAGTGCATCCATCTTTAATCACTCCTCCTCATTACTTGACATCACCAATAGATAGCGAAGGAGTCTTTGATTTCCAATGGAAAGACACAAGTCCTTCTCATTAGCTTCCTTGACATTGGCAACGCAAAGCCTTTTTAGTTGAGTCATTTTGCTGAGTTCTTTCACAAGTGTCCCCTGCTTTAACAAAGGTCGAAACTTGTAAGCTCTTCGCCGAAAAAATGCTGGATGGTACACGCATGCTGACCCAACTCTCATTGTCAGTCGGCCTACTACTGGAACGATAAACGATTAGATGCCGCAGATTTTTCAACTTCACAATTCCTCACCGTAACTCTTCAATTTTGGGTTTCCTTAAGCAGCAAAGACTGTAAGTTACAAAGTTTCCCGATCGAATTCGGAAGCTCCTTCACTTGAGTTCTTGTTAAGTTATCTCAAATTGAACAAATTTACCACTTCATGTGGGAGTTCATTGATTGGGGCACCTTCTAAATCCAACACTTTCAACAATTTAAAACCAGGTGGAAACTTACTGAAGGAAGATCTAGAAATTTCATCAATAGCAGAAACAAACAATGAACGAAGTCCTGCAATATCCCTTCCTGCAGCTTTCATCTCTTTATCCTTTGCCACAATTGACAAACGGCGAATTCCACTGTCTTCTAGTATTGCTTCTTGCCCATCGCATATAGTAACAAACTTCTCCGTTTTGGATATTGAAACTGCAAGCTCTCGCAGAATGTCATGCTTGTTACATGCTGTGGGCCTTCCAGATACATTCCTCTCTGCAACTTGAAGCAAGTCTCTACCAATCAATTCCATTAAGTATCTCTCACCTGCCATTTCTGGTGTTACTCCTTGATCCAGTTCCACAAAGCCTTCTGCCACCCAAAGTCTAATGAGCCTATTTCGCCTAATCCTATGATCTACCGGAAATGGACAACAATATAAAAAGCAATGCTTAATGATGACTTGAAGAGTGAAAAACAATATTATTTCTAGGGTTGTAAAATATATATATATATATATATATATATCCAAATGTATAAATGGGTTTAAAGCCCACGAGATATATTAAAAAATAAAGCCCAATCTTATAAGTCAACTAAACATAATATACATTTTAACAACTCCCTCAAACTGAAGATTGTTCGAAATGAAACATTTGGAGTTTGGAAACTAAATAACAAAAAGGGGAGCTTGAAAGAGACTTTGTAAAAGATCTACCATTTGTGATTTAAAAGAAATATGCGGTAATATGATGGTGCCTTTGCGTACCTCTTGCCTGATAAAATGACAATATATTTTAATATGTTTCGTTCATTCATGAAAAATATCATTGTAAGCAATTTGAATTGCACTCTTATTGTCACAAAAAAGTGGAAGAGGAGTAGGTGTGTCAACACTTAAAACCATAAGTAACCTATACAACCACATAATTTCTACTGTAGTATCTAATAAAGCTCTATACTTTGCTTTAGCACTTGAATGCATCACAATTATATGCTTTTTGCTTTTCCATGATATCAAAGAATCACTCAGAAATACATAATAACCAGTTGTAGAATATCGATCATTAACATCACTAGCCCATATAAAATCAGAAAAAGCAGGAAGTTCAAGTTTAGAAGTCGATGAGAGCAACAA